AAATCATTTCAAATTCATCTATCTAACAAATTTCCGTTAGCTTTTTTAAAGAAATCCTATGACATAATTATGTGGCGCAAGTTACGTGGCATATGCAAGTTTGAAAAATTGTACTTTTTTTTTTCATTTGTACGTCTTAATAATATTTTTACTTTTTTAGTGAGATTTTTTCTTTATTTTTTATTTTTAATTTTGTATTAAATTTATATCTTTTAATTTTTATTAACAACTAAAAAAATAATCATTGTTATTATTAGAATAAAATTATATCTTTTTTTTTAAAGTTAGTGTGAATTAGTTTTGGCTCCTAAAACAATTAAAGTTTCAATATATATTTAAAAGGTTAAATATCTTTTTTGATCCCTCTACTATAAGAAAAGCCATTTTTCGGTCTCTGTATAGAAAAAATTCCCATTTTGAACCCTAAATTTTAAAATCCAGCTCCTTTTTAGTCCTTCCGTTAATTTTTGCTCACGTGGCACATTAACTTAACTGGAATAGCTGACGTGGATATGCCAACATGTAAAAGATGCTTACTTGGACTTAATGATACCCTCCACATCACCCTCCCAGTGCGGGAAAAGTAAAAAAAAAAAGTTAAATGCTAAATTTGATCCCTCAACTTTATAGGTTTGCACTTTTTGGTCCTTAAATTATTTTTTTCACTTTTTTATTTTTTAACTCTAAAAATTGCACAATTTTGTCTATCCGTCAGTTAAACATGACGTGACAGTTAAATAATTTCATTTGACATTTTCTTTTAATTTTTTTGATGACATGACAATTATATATATTATAATTATGTTATATAGATAAATAAAAACGTCACGTAGTTAAATATTTATATTTTAATTAAAAAATAAAATTACATTATTACCCTCACCTCCCAATCCCTCTTCTTCGCCTTTTTTCTTTCTCTTTCTTTCTTTCCTACCCAAATCGGTTGGGTTCCATCAAACCTAGCTGCTGGTCAGCCCATAAAAGGTTAAATGCTATGACGTTGAGAGTTCATATTCTCACAAATCAAACTCACTAAAACATACAAAAAAAAAACTATGAACCCTAGAATACTCTAGAGCAAAATTTGAGTTCTCTGTCATCAAACCTAGTTACTGGTTTTATTAAAGCCACTGAGTTCATCAAGCCAGTAGATCTCATCAAATCAAATTAATCCTTCAATAAACAATATCAATCAAACTCTAGTCGAATTCCAATAAAAATACAATCAAACTCTAATCCAATTCCAACAAAAATGCAATCAAATTGTAAATCAACCCTTAAATTTATCAAGAATCAAAAATGAAAATCGAAAGAAGAATGAAAAAATATGAACCCAGCGTCGAAACCAGCAAGGCTGGGTTCGCGGGACTAGCATGGTTGGGTTGGTTGAAACCCAACCTTGCTAGTTTCGTCGAGCTTGGGTTGGTCGAAACCCAACCTTACTGGTCGTGCGAACCCAACAGCTAGGTTTCGACAAACCCAGCAAGGTTGGGTTCGGGTGACCAGCAAGGCTGGGTTCGACGGAACCTAGCAGATTTGGGTTTCGTCGAACCCAACTACCTAGCTCATCGAAACCCAGTCGATCTGGGTAGGAAAAAAAGAAAGAAGGGGAAGAAGAGGGATTGGGAGGCGAGGGTAATAATGTAATTTTATTTTTTAAATTAAAATATAAATATTTATCTATGTGACATTTTTATTTATCTATATAACATAATTATAATATATATAATTGTCATTGTTGACGACCACTTAAGATTGTTTCAAA